AGGAAGTGTAACCTAGAGCTGTGTATAGCTTTGTTTGTTAGGAAGTGTAACCTAGAGCTGTGTGTGGCTGTGTTTGTTAGAAAAGTGTAATCTGGAGCTGTGTGTGGCTGTGTTTGTTAGGAAGTGTAACCTAGAGCTGTGTATAGCTTTGTTTGTTAGGAAAGAATTATTTGGAGCTGTATATTGTTTGCTTGTTGGGAAGGGGTAATTTAGAGCTATTATAGCTTTGTTTGCTAGGAAAGGGTAATATGGGACTGTATATGGGTTTGTTTGTTTGTTAGGAAAGGGGTAACCTGAAGATGTGCATAGCTTTATTTCTTAGGAAAGGGGTTACATGGATTTGTATATAGCTTTGTTTGTTTGTTTGGAAAGGGGTAACCTGAAGATGTGCATAGCTTTATTTCTTAGGAAAGGGGTTACATAGATTTGTATATGGCTTTGCTTGTTTGTTAGGAAAGGGGTAACCTGAAGATGTGCATAGCTTTATTTCTTAGGAAAGGGGTTACATGGATTTGTTTATAGCTTTGTTTGTTTGTTAGGAAAGGGGTTACATGGATTTGTATATAGCTTTGTTTGTTTGTTAGGAAAGTGTAGCCTGGAACCACAGTGTATCTTTTTGAGTTTGTATATTATTTTTTAGAAATTTCAACACAAAGTTATGTATTTCATTTGTTTTTAAATAAACATTTGGACAAAGTGTTTACTCTTTGTCAATACTCTGATATTTAAGAAAATAAAAATGCAGGTGAAATTTTAATTGTAAGATATTAGGAAACAGTATTTTATCCTTCATTGCTATTACACAACATACCACATTTTGATCATTTTTTGTTTGATTTTCTTAAGAACTGCTACTATTCAGTATTTTTTCTCTTAGCGAGAACCTGTTTTTATTATTGGTTAGGTTTCTAATTATTATGATTAGTAATGCTTAATAAATAACTAAGCATATCTGTTTGAAATGTTGAACAATGTCAGTGACATTGTAAGAATTTGATCTGTCAGGAATGATTGATACTTCAAATCTTCTTCATTTAGTTTTTACGTTTTCATTGTGAATGGATTCAGTTTAAGTGCAAATTCTCTGTGTCAAATAATACTACATGATTTAAAGTTTTCAAACTGTTAAACATAAAAAGAAAAAAACATAGTATTCCAAAAGTCTGGCCCCACAGGGAAACTCCAGAAACAACACATCAAATAAAGTATGTGAAAAGTTTCATATCTCTTTAGGGCCAAGCTTTTGAGATATGCTGCAGATTGTTACAAGAGCATCCTAGTGATAAGGATAATGTTGAGATATCAAAATGTTATGCACAGAAGAAAGAAGAAAGATAAGGGTGTATAAAATGGGAATTTTGTAAATGAGTAACAGCCAAAAAATATTTAGGTTTCATATGTAATTGAACTGTCCTAGGGTAAATGAGCTTGACTATTGCTGCATTGTATTTTTCATGTGTATGTGGGCCTATTTGTGTAGTTTTGCTCTATCTAAGGTTATTTTCATTCTTTGCATTAATTTTTTAATGCAAGTTTCATCTTTAAACAACTTCAGTATTCAGTACATTGTTTATCATTATGAGTTATGATAAAAATTGAAAGATCATATTGTTTAAAGATGGCACTGACTATTTTATCATAAAAACTTAGTTATGCTAAAGTGTCGAGATCAGTTTTGTTTTGTTCATAATGTTTAAACTTTTATTCTGTGATACAAATCTTCAATAATCTTACATAGACCCTGTATAGCAGCTAATAAAATCACATTTTGTTCTTTAGAGCCAATCACATGGTAAATCATTAGAAACTACATTATCTAATTTAATTCAAATATTTTATTAGTAATGGAACAAATAATATTGTGTACTAAGTCGCTTATATTTTAAAGGACTCACACTGAATTAATGTTAGTAAAATTTCATTCACTCAAGCTAAAGGAATATATGTGTTGCATGCCACGTGAAGTGTGGACCTAAAAGAAGAAGTTGGATGCAGAACCTCATAATGGTTGTATATACATTTAGAGAGAGAAAAAAGATTCTTGCATAAAAGGATGTCCTTTGTGTCAAATGTATTCAACGGTACTTTTATATCAAACACTGTGCACCTGATGATTTCCCCATTCCCACTTCTCCTCCAGGTCCACTCCTATTACAATCTAGAATAAACCAGGAATACCTCCTAAGTGTTTAAGACCAAACATCAAATAAGTGGACAACAATGATGTGAAATGTGTTATGTACCAAAACCTTGTACCTCTTATACCTCTGAATTACAAACCCAAGTATTGTCATTCGTGCTGAAGCCCAGTGCTACAAAGTCACTTGAACAGAAAGCAATTTGTACTTGTTTTATTCCAAGTGATAAATAAAAAGTAACTAATTGTAAAAGGTGTGTGATTGATGTTTGGAAAAATACATATGCAGAAGCAAATATATCAGGATGAATAGGCTTTGATGGACTCATAAACCAGCTGGCTTGACTGACCAAGTCTAAGTTTGATTATTTTTTTTCTCCAGTATTTTGTTTTTCAAAATTCCAAAACAAACTCTTTGCAAACCTGTTTGGGGATTCTCCTATTTTAAACTCTGTTCTGGATTATCCAACAGAATCCTGTCTACAATTTTGGATTTGGAAGTTTTGTTGTAAAGAGAGTAACATACATGTATATTGCTTTGGTGAGGAATTGTGCTCTTCTCTTTATTGAAACTGGACATGCCATTTTATAGGAACTGATACCAGATCATATGTCGCCTTGTGCAATACCATTTATCAGAAAAGAAAGAATAATGTTGTCATCCTTGTTTAAGATAGAATCAATGTATGTATGTATGTGTGTGTGTAAATAAATATATATATATATATATATATAAACACATAAAAGTAATGTGATGCTTATGCATTCCAGAGGCAAAGTTACAAAATGCACAAGTAGTGTCAAACTAGTGATAATTATATCCATTGATGGGTATATTATGTCAGTCTTTGGTCCATATGTTGCTTATGAATAAAATAATGATGCAGCAATTACTCATAACACATTTCAAAATGATGTTGAAAATATTCACACCTCAGTACAACCAATCACAGAAGAGCTGCATTGTATCTCCTTCACAAACTAGTTGTAGAAAACCAAGATAACATTTTGCAAAAGTGGTGTAACCAGCATTCTTCAGAGAAATCAAGTAACCCAAAGGTTGTTAAAAAAGTGGGTGATAGAAACATTAAATTGTTGTCTAAAACAGTAGAAGATACTGAGCATGGTATTTACCAGCTTGCAGATTTCTTTTATAGAGGATTCTGTGCTCATTGCAACTGCTGTTAGCCTGCCTTGAAACAACACAGAAGCTGATTCTGCTGTTACACTTAGCATGCTTGACCTGGTGAAACAACCCAGTACACTCCAACAGATTGTAGAGTCCAAAGGTTTAGTCAGGTAGAAGTTCATGGGAAAAATGTTTGAAATAGATTATGCTGATTTGGACTTTCTGTAGTTTTCTAAAGAATATGGATGTATATCAGTTGAAGCAATTGGTATTGTATGTAGAACACATCTGAGGATGGACTTGTATGTATGTGGGTCAGTAAGGAAAAGGATGATTTTTTTGTGGAAAAATTCAGTCCAACTATACGTGTCAAGTAAGGTTTACTTATTTTGGATTGACTGTGAGAATCAAGAGTGACCCACACATATACCAGCCAGGTATTGTTTGTATTATGCAGGTTCAAGAGCAGTGGGGTGCTCTATGTACACGGTGTCTGTAATGTAGTTCTTGGATCTCAAGCAATACAAGGAACATGAGCTCACAAGACCAGGTTCCATACCAGAAGTTGTTCAGTGTGCTGCAATAATCATTGGTAACACTTGCAATGAATTGGATAATAACTAAAGGTGAAATTTGAACATATGGTGAATGTATGTGAAATGTAGCATTTTTATGGGTGAACTATGGGCAAGATTAAAAATGATATTCTAATCTTTTTTTTTTTCTTGTTTTGTTTCCATAATTAGTGGAATAAGGGAAGAAATCCAAGGAGTATGCAAAATTCCCATCTTAAACACACTTATCTTTGCATAAGATTACCAAGTTTTTCTTTAATTGCAGGTGTTATTTTAACATAATTTTCGCATTAAGTTTATCCCAGACTCTTCATATTGCAATTCTGCAATTTCTCTTATGTTTGTAAACCTATTTGTAGATATTGTGAATAGTTTGATATTTTCATTTTGTTTAACGCTGTTGCTTGTGGTTTTCATTTTCATACGAGTTAACCATCGAAGAAATAGGATAATTTTTTTTAATGTTTCTTTTCAATGTAAGTTAGCCTTAGCATTTCTACCTAACTGATGAACTCTGTGTTTTCCTTTCTCTGGCTAAAATTTTTAGGTTAACCTTGCTTTATAAAGCTAATCCAAATTGCAAGGTTTAAGAATCTCAACTTTTGCTGCTTTTCAAATTTAACCATTAATTAGGATATTAAACAACATGCTTGATCTTTTTAAGATGCTGGACACGTTATTGACCACATTAATTCGAGAGATGCAAAATGAATCTGTGCCTGGTCGGCGTGCTGAAGCACGAACAGTTGCTCAGTGGTTTGTTCGATCTGTGACAAGAATCTTTGTTATTTTAAGTGTAGAAATGGCCCCATGCACTGGACGAAAGAAAAGGTATTTTTCTTTTTGTGTTTTTTTATCTCTTTTGACACTAGATCACCAACTAGAAAAGCAAGGTTTTCAGCTTATTCATACCTTTCACTGGTCTTTAAAAACTATAACTATTTTTATTGTGACACTAAGTCAGTCAATTGAAATAAAGGGTTTGTTTTGTATTTGTGAAGAAAGTAAAATAGTTGTTAAAACAAAAGTGTGTGTTAGCACCACCATTATTTCATTAGAAAGAGTGAGTTTACTTCATATATTTATAATGGCAGTGAATTATTTATTAGAAACTGTTATTATAAAATCGTTATGATAACTAGCAGTAAATCAGTCATTGGAAACTTTGAGATTATACAGTTATGAGTTGATTTTCCATTCAGATTTGCATGAATATTTAAAAAAGTATGACTCCTTGTATTAAATTGTTATTCCTATAAAAACAATAATAAATCAATGAGTATCAGTGGTTGTTTGACTGAACAGCTAGATCTGTTTTATTGTATAGCATTGCTGGAGTATCTCAGCCAATAGCCAAATGCCGACGTGTTTTCCAAGCTCTGATAACACTAGCTGTAGAAGAACTTTGTGAAACAGCTGACTCTCTCTTTGCTCCAGTTCGTCTTGGGGTTGCACGACCCACAGCCCCATTTTCTCTTGTTTCTTCTTGCATTGATGCTGTGCAGGTAATGTTCTAATGGGTATTGCTCTAAGGTTATTGTAGTTATTTGTATTATGATGATTAATATTTCACTTTCTGCAAAGAAGATCCATCATAATTTGATCAAAATATTGAACTTTCATGTTGATTTGTTTATACTGTAATGAATTAAAGTTTTATAGTTTGAATAAATTTGTATTTAACTATTTCAATGAGCTTCTCTATTTTACACAACCTTATAACCTCATATAACCATGGTGGTATATGTAGTATAACTCTGAAAGTACTAAATGTATTCTCACAACACTTGACAAGCTTTTTTAAAAGTTTTTTTAGGCAAAGAAAATCAGAATTTTTAATTAAGTATTTTTACTAAAACTTTGTCTGTAAGTATATGGAGTCAGAGTGTTGACTGCTCCAAATGCAAAGTGATTTTCATGTTAGGATTAAAAATACTTTTCTTCCTCTAAAAATTGTCAAATTTTATTTGTGTAATCTCTAAAAACCTTCTAAATAAATATAAAATGCTTTTTCCAGTTAAACTATATTTTCTCTATCTAAAGTCTGTATGGGGTCAATTTAGTTGACCGACTTTGTAACCACAATAAAAAAAAAAGGAAATAAACCTAAATTTCCTTTTTTTAAATTCTAGAATGTCTGCAAATTGTAACCGGAAACCAAAGCTTAAAGCTTGTAACAGTATACATCTATTTATACTTAATTTTATTATTTTATTGACATTTGAACCATGTCTAACTAATAATCCCGCCAAGCGAGTTGTAAATCACATTACTGTAGCAAACTGCATAACGGTTGAGTTGCTCGTGAGCATTCCCTGTGAAAAATTTTTATTTATTCATTTTTTTCATTATCTTACCTAATCTAACTGTATCTAACCTAATATTTTTTAGTTTTTAATTTTAGTTACTTTTATAATAGTAAATAAAGATTATACTTAAAAAGGAAGAAATATAGTACTTACCTGGGTCTTCTTTTTTTTCGCTGTCAACTGTCAATGAAATTTAAGCCTAATTTTTTTCTACTAATGATACTACTGCACTCACTTTTTTACTTAATTAAATAATGCATCTAAAAACACTGAATAATAACATGTAAAAAGTAGATAATGTCCTGTAACTATCATAATTTTTCTGGCTTTCTAACTATGCGATAAGAGCTGTTAAAAATTCGACTAAGCTCTTCTCTAATTTATTTACCACACCTCTGAGAAGTACAAAATTTAATGCAAATTACTCATTATAATATTGTCGTTGCTCAGGCAAAGCATAATAAAAAATTTTTCACAAGGTACGCTTGTGAGTGGCTGGATTTGCGAGTAATCTGTGTATTGTGTAATTTAATAGGATAACATGAGCTACATGTTTACCACGTGATTTACAACTTGTATGGCAGAAATATTAGTTGGACACTGTTCAAAGGGCAATAAAACAATAAAATTTAAGTAGAAACATATGTATACTGTTAGGAGTGTAAATCTATTAAGGATGAACAAATGTAGTTTCATGTTACAATTTGAAGTCATTCTAGAAAGAAAAAAGGGTAATTTAGATTTACTTTATTTTTTTTTATAGTGGTTATGAGTTTGGTGAAATTGACTAACCCTGTATAGAGTTAGGGTAGAGAAAATAACATAACTTATAAAGTTTTACTGAAAAAACATTTTACATTTATTTAGGAAGTTTTAGAGATTACGCAAATGAAATTTGAGTATTTTCAGATGAAGAAAAATATTTTTAATCTTAACATGAAAATCATTTCGCACTAGGAGCACTCAACTCTTTGATTCCATTTATTTACAGAGAAATGTTTAGTGAAAATTCTGTGTTTTTTGTCTACAAATGACTTAATTCTTGCTGAAAGTTTGCAAAATTTTATGAAGATTTACAAAACGTAAGTTATAGTGTGGAAACTATAAAGGAATTTGAGATCACAAACTCGGCCAGTTGGGCCAAGCCTATAGCGATAGGGTTAAAGTAATTTGACTGTTATAAAGAGTCATGTTTATCTAATAGTGACATGAAACTGTGAATAAGTTATTGTAAGAATTTTCTTGTTAAAATGGTAATAGTGATGGTAAAATATACTTTGAAAGAATTCAGAGGAGTTGTTTGTTGTTTAACCAGTGGTTATGTGTATATTGATTGGTTTGGAAGAATATTTTTTCACATAAGACGTTGATACTTAAGTTAAATATGACAGGGTTCAGAAGAGCTGTTTGCTGTTGATCCTATGCTGACACGTAGTAGCCAGCAAGAAGCTGTTTCTCAAATTAGTGGTGCAGGTGATACCCAGACAGTCAACTTGGGTGTTGTGGGACAGGCAGAAAGTTCAGGAGATAGGGTAGAAGATCATGAGGTAAAAAAGTAAAGTATTTTTGCTGTAAAGCCAGTTTTTATACTTTTTCTTTGTATTGCATCATTTGTAGCTGAATTTTTGATTCCTTAACAGACTGTTCTAACTTGAAAATTTAATTGACATTTTATTCTCTCTTTTGTTTTCAGTAAGCTCTTATTTTCCCATCTTTGATACTTCTCAAAAATTTAGCAGAAGTTTCACTATTTGCTTTCTTTTGTTTAATTTTCCTGTATATTTATATATATATATATTTTTTTTTTCTGGATCTTGTCATTATGAATACAATAGAATAATAATGCTAATGTCTTCAGGTGGATGTTCTTCAAGCTGTAGAGGGGGAAGATCCAGATCACGAGGAAAGTGAAAGAGATGAACCAGCAGAGGTATCTGAACATGACAATGTACAGCCTGAAAACCATGATGATGGTAAGATTTTATCATCTGTATTTTAAAATTATTACAGTATACAGTATTAAAGTTCGTTCTGAATGACAGTACAAGCTTCGTCCAGCTGTTGTTATATGGAGCCAATGTAAGAAGCTAATATGACAAAGAACATTATTAGGTCTTGATAAAGATTTTCTGCAGTAGTTTGAAACATTACTTCAAATTACCAGATTTGAATAAAGCTTATGACATCATTGAAAATGACACTTACCAGAGGGTTTTCATTATCACAGTGGAAATACTTAACCAATTATAGTATTTTGGCACTTGTGTATAAAGTTAAAATCATAAATGAGGATGAC